AATATATGGTAGCATGTTTTGCTCCAGTAATTGTTGTTTTATTTACAACTTAGTTTAGTGAGCAACTACACCGTAAAAGAAAAAATGTTTCAAAGTTGCAAATAAAACAACTATTATTGGGGTATGTTTTACGAGAAAATTATATTTCCATTTTTGCACTTCAACGTTACATGTATAATTCAATGTGTTACTTCCCTTTTCTTCTTGTTTGTGAAATTTATTTGCAATTTCAGTCTGAGTGAAACTTGTTTGTACACAATTGTTTTTTTCGTAGTGTACGCTGGTTTTCTCAACAGGAATCTCAAGTTATGAAATCATGACTCAGGGACTACTAAAATTCTATTTTTGTTCATTTTATGGTATTTCATTAAGTTTTTCAGCTACTTAGTTTAGTGTAGTTTATTTTCTTTTTTCCATTTTAATAAGAAAGTGCTTTTTTTTAATCCTGATTATTGTTTTTGCATGTAGAAATAGCACCGTCTGTCCTCATGTGAACATTCCTAGCCACATTCTTCATTTATTTGGAAATCACCATCTTTAGATCTATTTCCTTCTTCCTTTTCAACTGCAATTTCAAAAGTTCTTATGGAATGCAGCTGGACAAATCATACAAATACTCGCTGCCAGGCAACATTAGCTTGTGGAAAACATTTCCAGACAGACGTCACAGAAAATGCTTCCAGGTTCATGAAGTGGGAACTGTACCAAATGAGACTAAAAAAAAAACCTAAAAAAACTCAGAAAAAAGAAAATAAACTTAGTAAACCTCAGTCAGCAGACAAAAAGTTCAACTGAGGACGGTCAAATATATTGTCACTATGCGGTTGTTGGAAAGAATTTATTTTGATTTAAGTAGAATGGAACTCTCAAACAAGTCTCTCGTCAGCAGTTTATAGCTAAACTTTGTGGTTTAAATTCTACTTTATGTAGATGATCAAGTTGGCAATAGTTTTAACAATAAATAGTTGTATTGTTTATGACCCTGGTGTCCCAGAAAACATTGAATCTTATGTAAATCGTAAGGTGATTCTCACATATAATCATTGTCTTAACCCTTGTTCTGTGCTGAAAATCCTTGAACTAATTCCTGGTCAAAAATGACTGGCCTTTTAAGAATTGCTTGTAAATCTCTCATTATGCTGTATTATCACCAAATCTTAGATTCAACCTTTTTGTCAACTTGTTTTCTTTCAGTTAGCACACAGGTTAGTTTTTCTTTTTGGAACGGTTTGATTGTAGGTTTCATTGATTTGAGCTCATGCGCTTCAGTTTTTGAGTGGAAAAATTTTTGGATAATTTTGGCAATATTCACTCATAAACTAAGGTGCATGAGCTCAGATCAGTGAGGCCTACGACCAATCAGTTCCAAAAATTGTGCTAATTGAAAGAAAACAAGTTGATAAAAAGATGTAATATTTGGTAATATTGTTTTTGCTAAAACACTTTTGTTTGTGATCTTATCGCTTGAGATAGATATAGAGATAGATCCAAGGAATTATGGAATGTCTTTGAGAAAGTGACTAATCATCTGGGGCGGGGGGCCCATATGCAAAAAAAAAATAAAATAAATAATTGTACGTGCCCCCCCAAACGTTATTAGCTCCAACTCGGTTAACGTATTGTTGATTTATCTGAAGTGATTAACGTTACGTGTATTCACAAGCTGTTTTATTTACGGTATAAATGCTTGGAAATAATATTTAACGTTTTCAAGTCCATTCATCATTTGTAGCACGCAAGCCACCCAATAATCGCAATAAGCTTTGTGCTTTGTTACTTATATTAAAACACAAAGTGTCAGCCTTCTGTCAACTTTATAATAAAATACTACAAACAATACATGTGTTTTTACGCTTCTAAATTTGTAGTGAGATAACTATATTCGTCTCAGTTCAAGCAGCATGTGAATCAATGATATTTTCCTCTTTAATATTTGCAGCACGAAATAAGCGAATAAATATTTGAATGCATGTTGAAAAAATCAGAACAATTTAATACATACGAATGTTTCATGAAATCGATCAATTAGAGTTTTTAAAAAAGATGTCAAAAAGCCTATGTTTTATTGCTGTTTTTCATGTTAAATGTGAAGAATGACAGGTTGGATGCCACATATTTTTTATTTATTTATTTTATTTTTGGCAGAGTATAGGTAGAATTTGCACATTAACTTCACGCAGTGTAACATGATTTTATTATCGTAATTTAGACTTTATTCTTAAAATATTATGACGTTAATCTTATTTAGACCAAGACGACAGAAAGCGCATCCTGTTTGTTTTCTTTATTTTACAAAAGCACAGGTTTTTGATGATATTGTGAGTGCACAGAAATAAAAGTAGACCCTTTACAATTCCAAATGATGTATTACTCTTATCTTTATGAGCAAAAGTGATGACGTATGTTAAGATTCCACTCTTAAGAAAAAAATGCAAGTGATCGCGCTGGCGCCTCTATGTCCTGCAGAGCGCGCTTCAGCTTCCACTCTCTGCACAAACCACTGGATATGCGTCTAACAGCACACATTTATCTAGGTTAATTTTTTTACTAATTTTTTTATTTAATTTTTAATTAATATTGTGAATTGCATGAAGTGTTTTATGTCTATAGATTTTATTTTAGGCAAGTCATGTTGATTTGAGAAGGCTAAATTTATCAAACATATGCTCAACTCAGTCCGCCGCTTGCCGCTTGGTCGTTACTTTTAAAAATACAACAACTTGAATTTAACAAACATATTTCTAAATTAACTTAATATTATTCACAATCACAAAAGTAAATTTTTTTGCATCTGCTTTAAAGCCTTGTTAAACGTTTCATTCGTGTGCTGTTCTGACGAGCGCTTTTTCTGAGCACACCCAAAGCGCGCGCACGAAAACGAAAAAGCCCGTCAAACAGTGCCTGATTACTGAACTAAGTTATGTTTTGTGCTAATACTGTCAAAACACACAAGGTTTATGTATAGACTCAGTTGGTTATGTCTAAAATGAAAGTAAACGACTAAAAGAGAAACTTATGCATTCCTGTATATTAGATGCGTGCAGGTCTTAAAGGGACAGTAGGCTATATTTGTATATATTTGTGTATTTGTAATGTGTATCTTTGTTCTCATTTTTTAATAACGAAGATAAAATAATGACAAAGATTTTTATCTTCACCCTCTTTGGCCTAAATATCCGCCATACTTTTTTAATATTTTGCTGCCTTGAAAGGCTTTGTCTTTATAATAGGGAAATTAGTTTGACTGTAATGCTCAAACGGCTTGCGAAATAGAAAAACCAACATGACAAAAAATCGTGAAATAAAACCGTGAATCGTGATATTTTTGCCATATCGCCCACCCCTAGCCGAGGGGGTACAAACCCACACACTGAAGTTTTTGTTTTCAATATCTCAAAAATCTAATGAATCAATGAGGAACTAAGCAGAAACTGGACAGACAGGGTTGTGGCAGGAGATGTAGAATCTGATAGTAGATATGACAGCTGAGAAAGCGAAATGGAAACTGGAGAACTGAAAAGAAACCTGAGAACGTGACATTTTTGTTACTGATAATTTTTTATTAGGGGTGTAACGGTTGTCGGTAAAACATTGAACCGTGCCGTTCTCAACTTCAACTTAAATCTCACAATGCATCTGTAATATGGCCTGTTAAAAAATAACAACACATAAAACATTTAAGCCTTGACAGTTTAAACATTCAAGAGCCAGAAGACGCGAATGAGAAGAGAGGATTTGTGTGCGCGCTCATCCGAAGCGCCAAACCCGCGTCTCAGAACACCCGCAAATATTGAGTTCTCTTTCAAGACTTGTGCTTGAATGGACAAATTCACACAAAAAATTATGTCAACATGCCCGTCTTGGTGAGTATACTAGCAAACATAGCCGATTAAACATACAGTATCAGTGTACTGGATCCGTGCATTGTCTTAAAGGTCCCATATTGTCAAAACTGAAATTTCCTGGCTTTTTTCACGATAACTGAGGTCTAGGGGCTATATAAGTTTCAAAACAGTCAGTCCACAGTAAACTGCACACAGCCTGCTTAAAGTAGCAGTGATTTTTCACGAACCGTTGTGACTGCCGTAAAAAGTTGAGATGAGAACTACACAGACATATGGCAAGAAAT